TTTAGTTGGTTGACAAGGAATATGTTGGTCATTGTACAGTGGGTGGGGAGATCAGCAAATACCTTGTCAGATGTGTTAGCTAAGCAAGGGGTAAATAGGGAAGAATTATTTTGGGCTCAGTTGTGATTCTTGTTTTTCTTTCCTAGTTTACTTGTAAGTTTCAAGGAGGGGCTGCAGCTCACACCTCTCACTGGGATGATGTAAACATGTCTGGTGTTATACCCTCTAATATTTATTGTTTTAAACTTATTATGATGTAAAATAGCTTTAAAAATAATCTAGAATCTACATTATTTTTAATGTTTTAAATTTTTTTATTTTTTCACATTTTTATCTGAATGAGTCAAACAGTTGAACTGGACTGTAGAATTTTATTTGAATGAGTCAAACAATTGTAGGATAACTATCGCATTGTGGCTTCACTTCTGACCTTTAGCCTTGCACCTAGGTGTTTCTAGGCTTATTGTTGAAAGTTCTTTCTCCATTCTTATTTTGTGTAATGGTAAAACCTCAGGCTGGCAAGCTTCAAAAGATGGGTTCAAGTCTGAGAAGTCTGAGAGTGGTCATTTCATACCATCCCAAAACCCCAGATAGCGTAGACCAACATTAGGTAATGGCCTTTTACTCTCACAAGGCCATGCTTTTTATTTTTCCTCTAATAAACAACAAATTACTGATGGAAGGGAGGCAGAAATAAACATGTACACGCTCATGCATGCACACACATAAACACACAGAAAGAAAGAGAACAAAGCTATCACACCCAAAAGCAAAGAAGAGGGATCAACCTAAAAATGCTTTCTCATCTAAAATAGAAGATTTTCTTTATTTTGGAGAAGGAAAATAGAAGAACATATCATAAGAAACTAATACAGTTAAAGTCAGGAGATATTTAACAATTGGAAAAGATAATAAACACAATTAGCATTTCAAAAAGAAGGTTTGTACCTCACCAAGAGTTATAGGGGTTTTGCCAGGAACAGCAGGATAGAATGTAAGAGCAATAATTCGAGTAAGGAAGTCTATTTCTCCCTCTAGTTCCTCAAAATCGTACAATGATAGAAGACTAGATGAATCTTGAGCATTAAGTCGTGCACCTGCTCCAGTCACAGCCATATCCTCTGAACTAACTGCACCTGCTAAAGGTATTATAAGGTTTGTCCCATTTGAACATTGTGGTATAGAAGCTCCCTGCATATGGAAAGGAATTAAATATTAACAATTAATAAAAACATAAGAACTGATAAATTTGTAGCCTCATTGGGTATATCAAGGGCCAATATAAAAAAGTAGAATTCCAATGACAAAGGTAGCACAACTAAAACAAAAAAAAAAGTAAGGTAATTTTATTTCTGGAAAAATAACATACAAATCAGAGAGGAACCAGAAACAGTCCTCTGAACTAGATATACCGATCAAAGATCCCACAAATTAACTGAGTTTAGCATCAGAAACATGTTCTCAGGCATAGATGATAACCAAGAAGCTATCCTAGCAACAATACAATGGATCAACATATCAGAACTCTTGTTTTCATTTCTAAATGCTCTACTGATCACTGCTGCTGGAATAGTCCTCCAAATGTATTTGCCTTTTTAAGATAAGCCCGGAAGGCACCAGTTATGTAAAAGTTCCTTTACTGAGCCCGGCATAACCCAGCAAACGCCCACAGCATGTAAGAAATGGGACCATATCCTCCAAGCAACCATCCAATGAATGCATAGGTGGTCAATGGACTCCTTAGCAAGCCCACAAATTCCACAGCTCAGATCCTCTAAAATGATTCCCCTTTTAGCCAGGTTACTTCTTGTTAGGCATTTCCCCAATGCTGAAGCCCAGACTAAGAAGTTGATTTTGGAGGGAGATGAGAGACTTGTTTAAAAGGAAACTCAGACTCCCTTCTAACAGACCCTCAAAAAAAGATTTAACCGGAAACTTTCTATCAGCCTTCCATTTCCATGTCCATTGATCACTTGACTGGGGGTCAAAAGAGAAAGTGTTTAGGCTGTTAAGAAGATTCATTAAGACAACTATAGAAGTAAATAGTAAGAAAAAGGTTAGAAAGAGAGTTTTCTATATACAACAAGTGCCTATTTTTATGCTTTTTTCTGCTAAAATAACCATCTTTGCATCCTAAGTGATGAAGGATCAGGTAGGGTTCTTACTAATTTAAAGAATAGATGATGGGCTTTATGGGGTGAAGGAAGAGATTTGGGTGATCTAGGATGAAGAATAAGGGTAGAGAAACAAGTAGACAGCTTGCTGTAACTTTTGCTGTTAGGATAAACAACAAAGAGAAAGATCACTCATAAGAAGAAATAGGTGAGAGAAAAAAAATTAAAAAAATCCTGGCAACAACAAGAATTCACTAAACCAAACTTTATCTCTTCAAACTAATTCTTCTTCCACTCCAATTACAATGACTATTTATAGACCCAACTTAAGAACTCAGATGTCCCTTTACAGACTCCAACTTGGACCAGGAAACTGACACAAGCCAACTTATAGTTTCTTTAAAACTAAGACAATCCACAAGTATAAAGACAAATAAGGACTCTAACTCCTAAACAACTCTAATAACACTTTCCTAATCCTACTAAAACTAGCTCAATTTAAAGACATCAGAAATTACTAAAAATAGTAAACCGCAACTTTACTAGGGGCCTTTTGGCAAGTCTTTTTTTGAAAGATCTTCTGGAAGCTCTGATAGTCAAAAGACAATGTGAGCTTTTGCATCAAGATCTTAGCAGCTTGAAGACCGTTTGGTTAAGGCGTGTCTTTCCACGCGAAGACGAGTTGAAAAAAAGGCAAAAGCTCCATTTGGAGCTTCCTGAAAATAGCCTGAAATGGGCTTCCCGTGTCTTCTCAGGGCTGTGGCTTTTGACGGCTAGATCTTTTCCCAACCAAACAGGAAAAGACCAAAATGTGGGCTGTCGGGCTTCTAAAAAGCTGACAGCCCGCGCAAAAAGACGTGCCAAACGGGGCCTAAAAAAAGTAACTATGAAAATTGCTATTAATAGTAAGTCTGAACGCTACCACAAATAGTAATTTTGCAATAGCAATGAAGTTCTAAAAAATATAATTCCATTCTTATGACATATTCAACTAGAAATTGGTGTAAGAATGGAAAAAAATAATTTGTTTCTCCATGGATCCTTTCCTTGCTTCAATATCTGCATCACTAAGCATATGTGAAAGAACATTAAATCTTATAGCCACTCACCTTTAGCCAATACATTATCTATGCAGAAGCCAACCCCATATAGTTGGGACAAGGCTTAGATGATGACATTATCTATGATCAAAGACCTTTACCTTTTCCATTTGCCCATCTAGTATAATGGACCAGAACCTTTACCAAGTTGGCAACTCCCACCAAAAACCAAGTTCTTCAAGATTCAATTGAGGCATTCCATGGATTTGTGCAGAGAAATTGCACTTTTTGTTGGATTGGACATTCAATTTGATAGAATCGTGTAACTTGAATTGATAGACTTTTTTGGGTGGGTGGGGATCTACTTTGGGAGATATCAATGCTTGCATAAATCATGCACCAACATGACAAATCCCATCATATATCACTGCAGTGGGGTGGTCCATTCAGGTTAGTGACAACAAGGTAGGTCAACACCCAAAGAAATGTTGCATTAGTTCTCTTCATGCTCTGGATTGAGTAGATAAGCTCTTTGTCAAACAATAAAACAAATTCCAGGTTCAAGAATGCAGATGTGCAAGTCTCTTCTAATTAAATTACTTGTCCAAAAAAAAGAAAATCCATTCCAATTAAAAAGTTCAGTAAAGCAAGACATATGGAAGTAATAATACAGACCTCGAGAACAAGTTTAAGCCCATCTAGGTTGCGTCCTGTTCTGACATCAACAGTTGCTGGAAAAGTTGTATCATCTGCACCATGTGAAATTGTGAGAAGAAGCTGACAAACATGGCAAGGCTCACTGAGGTAAATGAAAAGTTCAACAACATCTGCAGCCTGGGGACAAATCTGTGAAAATGAACAACAGAAACATTTAAATAAGCAGAAATTATAAGTTAACAACAATAACAGAATTTAATTCCTGTAACTTGATGGATTATTTTGCCCTTTCAAATGCAGATCAGAGTTGCATACCCATATTAGGTCTTTTCTCTTAAAACTCAGAAGATCAGCTTCACCATTGGAACTTGGGCATATATTCACCACTGGTTTCAGAAAGCAAGCAGATGATCGGGATAAAACCTGTCCCAATCAGCATTGAGTTGTTAATTAGTACCAATCTGCAGTCTGTAAAATGAAAAAGCACTTTAAAAGAAAACTCTGAGGTGCCGAGATAAAAGTATTTCTTAAGTTCATCCAATAATATAACAAAAGCTGTAAATTTCATTAATGAATGAAGCCATAACAGGCAATATTTTAAAACTCATATAATCTAGAAAGGAACAATTCAAGTCAGAATCTTGTCCTCAAATTTACCAAAATTTATTACATTAGTTACTTTCATAAGAAAGTTCTGTTATTAGCTATTACAGCCAATAGCTGAGATTTTTAAGAACCTAGAGCACAAAGTTAATATGCCTTGCAAATTGAGTTTCAGGCCACATACAAGTGCTCTTTTCTTCTAAGAAAAGGTAAAGTATATTTCATCAAAAAAGGGGGATTTACAATAATTTATAGCAATATGAAACCCACACATCTAGCTTCAAATAGAATTTTTAATTGAAAAAAGAAAAGGCAGATACTGGGAGAAAGAAAAACAAGTTCTTACACTACAGTCTAGGAATTCACTTCAATATGTTTTTCCTTTTCCTTTTGTAAATTTGGAATTAAAAAAAAAAAAAAAAACTTCTTTCCTTTTCATGTGTCCTTTCCATGTATTAATGTAATATTTTTATTACCAATAAAAAGAAAAGAGTACTCCTGAATGTGACCGGGTCTAAACATAACCTCAACTTTAGATTAGTCCAATTTGTCACAATAAAAGGCATCAAACAAGCCATGTTTTCTGAGCCAATTGGAATAGGAAATTCATTGAAGGCTGAGACTAGCAGCTTTGGAAGGGATTCAAAGAGCTAAGGATTTGCACATAAACAAGCTGATCATAGAAGGAGACTTTGAGACTGTAGTGAACTGGTTAAAAGAAGACAACTCAAGATTATGGAGCTACAGCAATGAGAAGAGGAAAAACAAATGATTGACCAAAGACATGAAAGTAGAAATGCACGTGGATAAAGAGAAGTGCAAACTCTTTTGCAGAAGGCTTAGCTAGACAAGGGGTAAATAGGAGTTCTGTTTTTTGGCCTCAATTGTAATTGTTTTTTGTATTTTGGGTGTTTAGTGGCAGTTGTGGAGAGAGTTAAGATATTTTAGCTCCCTTTCTATGTATTTTCATTCCTCAATCAATTAATGAAATCACTGTTATTGATCAAAAATAAAATAAAAGGCATCAAACAAAAAACGTACACATATTGCAAAGCTACTTAAAAGTCACCTGCAATACATATTTCCACTAGATACCAATGAAAAAAAAAAATGCATACTCTCAAAGGATGAAGTGAAACCGAAGGGAGATGTTTGAAGAGTCTCATTCCAAGAAACATTTCCAATTGCTTCTGTCGGGAGCTATCCACAAGCACATTATTGTACCTTCTCTGCAGGGTGATCTTCATATTCTGTGCAGCAGAGAACTGTTTAAACTTGCCAGGTTCATCAGTAAAGATACTGAGAATTTGGCTATGCATAGCTTTAGAACCAGTATATAGTGTTGCATGAATATCACCAGCAAGCAGAAAAAGGTCAGCAAGCTGAGAAATTGGTGATAATATTGTTGATCTCTTGAACTCTTCAAAAGTCATGTCAAATCTCTTCCAAGGTTTATCCGGACATGGATGCACCCAGGTTGTGGTCCTAGTGTTGTGATCAATGTAATATGTTTTTCCTGTCACTGCATCAGAACGTTTTTCCCAGCCCGGTGGCAATGGAGCATTATATCCACCATAATTATATACCGATGGAAAACCAAACATGACATCAGTGTCAAGTAATAGCCCTAGCCGTCTACATTGCTCTACAAAAACTTGAAGTGACCCAAAATAACTAGCAGCATTTGTTCTATCCAAAGAATCTGCACAGTTAAAACGTATCACCCCATTTTGGTGTGATCTTAAGCAAAAAACACCCTCAAAATCTTCATTGTAGACAAGTTCTCCTTGACAGTCTTTGAGTTGCTGACATGAATGCAGGTAATCACCTTCACAAATGCCTACAGTTATCGTAGGTTGTTTCAGGAGTTTCCAGAGCCCTTCAATTGTTTGCTGTTCACCTTTCAGTTTTACGCTTGCATGCCAATCATAATTTATTAAATGAATCCGAGTATATGGAAGTTTCCCAGTTGATCTGACATGATTTAAGGATTCTTCAAAATGCTGTACTAAGATGGATTCAGACTTCCCTTCACCATTTCTAAGTAAGTTGACACATAAAATAGGAACCAAAGAACTCTTCTTCTGATTAACTCCAGGAGTTGCATCTGAATTACAACCACCATATCTCTTACTTAATCGCTGGTAGTATTGCAAACTTCCCTTATAAGGATTATCTGAAACATAAATTTCTGCCTCTGCAGCAGTGATCTTCAGCTCTGCACCCCACCATATTGGTATGGTGCCTCGTCGCCAAATATACACATTGAAAGGAATACTTTGACCAGTCTTCCTAGGAACCCACACAACTTGCTCACACTCTACTTCATTTCCTGCCAATCCACATTTTTAATGAGCTCAAAGGAATCACATCGTACCAATAACTCCTTTTTTATAGTTGGCATGCTAAATAGCATAAACATATTTGCATTAATAATGAAAATGCAAGTATCTAGAGTATAGAAATGTACGAGTACAAAATAGAAATTACATTATCTAAACAATGTAATTGAAATGAAAAAAAAAAGAGAATATGAATACGTGACAAGTACTCTGAATTTGAAAAATAAAATGCATTTTTTTTATTTTTACTTGCATATTAATCTAGGGTGTTCACCAGAAGTGATGCACTAACAGAGACCTCGCTGGAGAGGGGAAAAAAAAAAAAAAGCAAAACTAAGGTATTATAATCCCTAAAAGCAATGAAGCAATGCAGCATCCAGTTGTAATGGCAGGTTAACAGGGATTCTCACATCGTTAAAGAGGAGTTTGGGCAATGAACATATTCCATTAGGAATCAACCAATCACATAAAATGTGGGAACTTCAACAGGAAAGAGCACAGAGCTAAAAGCTGATTGATACTCTGAGAGGGGTGCTAAGACAATATATTGATTCATGATCCCATGCATCATTCTTCAGAAACTATTCTGCAGCAGAAATGGAGATTTCTTTATGTCAACCAGTTAGACACCTCACAGAGCCAACCAACCCTTTCGCATGCAAAGAAATGGGTTGACTTTTACAGCCATGGAAACTGTCTGATTGGGAAGTTCACCATGGAAGGCATTGCCTTGATCTGATAACAAGTTACCTCCAGGACTTGAAAATTACTAATGGTGAGACTTTGGTGGGTATATTAGATCTTCAACAAATGGTTCTCTATTTCACTTTGGAACATGATATCATTCAAACCTATATAGATACACCTATGAACTCCTTTCCTATCACTGCTGTTTCCAATGAAGTTTGTCCTTGATTACAGCAGCAATGGGAGGGGTCCTCAAAGTTGACAGTTCAACTCCTCCTTGTTCAAGGCTTGGTGTAGCAAGGGTTTGTATTGAAGTGAATATAGACAAATAGCTACTACCTAGAAGAACCTGGATTGGGATAGGCAGAAGACTTTTGGCAGCTATAAGGCATTAAAAAAAGGATTATGTTCAGTGTTTTGCAATTATACTGTACATGCTTTGATTTTTTTCTCTTATTTGTTACAGGATGCCTCTTTCCATGATGTTTTATATCTTCTTCCTCTGTAGCAAAACCAAATGAAAGCCTCTAATTGTGTTGGAAGGATAAAATGATTTTTTTATGGTGAAGATGAAATTTCACCTGTGCCAAAACATGAATTCAACCCTCTAGCCAAGTATCGAGTACCAGGATGCAGTCTGCTGCGGCGAGCTATGAGAGCAACCATTCCTTCTTGCTGACCTGAGCTTCCAAATACTCGACATTCTGCGAACCCCTAGAAATAGATGTCAATAGAAGTTAACATTGTGAGCAAACTAGATTGAACCTGTGATATGATACTTGGATACCTGTACAAGGGCACCTTACCATGTTGGATACTTCAATTTTTTATTTGAACTCTATATCTAATACCATGTCCTGCCATGGCGAGGCATATACAGGTAACATAGGTTTGAACATAATCAGAGGTGGTATTTTAGAGCAATCCAGATATATGCATCAATTACAGCAGTTAGATCAATGTCAATATTGGTTGCAAAGGTTCACAGAAAACTGAAACAAAATGCAATGGATAAAAACAAGGAGACTAAAACAAGTACCTACACAGTTAAGTCTTAATAAGAATCAAGAGAAGTGCTATCAACTCCCTTACTAGTAATGTAAGAGTATCTTAAAGCATCCAGGGTAGGTTGCAAAACAAAAGAACATGCAGCCCACTAAATCCGTATAGACTTTTAAAATAACAGTGGAGAGATTGACAGGAAAATCTTAAGAAGGAATTAAAAATAGGATGAGACGGTGAGAGTATGTTTTTGTGTGCGTCTTTAGAGAGTGAGAGCGAAAGTATGTTCTAAATAGGCTTCTAATGTTAGAAGCCTTAATAAATTCAGAAAGAAGTGGATTTAACATTTAAAATTAATCATCAAATCAGTGCACCAAGTATGAAGAAGAACCTGCAAAAGAACTACACAGTGTTGTGCCAGCCCAATTTCTTTGAAAGGCATTGAAAACCATCCGTTCCAAACAAATTCATCATCTGGCTTCTGCAATGGCATGCGGCTTGGAAAAGGTCGAGTTATATCCCTTGTTTCACAGAAATAGTGCTTCCCATCAATCTCAAGCTCAGCCAATTCTTGGATGTTCTTTAGTTCCCCTTTACCCTGGGGTTGAGGATTTTGAAGTGGAATCTTGATCCATTGGCTCTCAGTCACAGTATATACACATCCTCCACCAGGAAAATTTGGTATGCTGGCAGTCAATTTTGTTGCAACTAAAAGTAACCCAAAGCTCCCTAGGGACGAATAACCCAGTATTGCTCTAGCATAAATTTTACTCTTACAAAGCCACTTTGATCCATTTGTAATGCAGTTCAAAGCTTCATCTTCAGAACTGAAAATATCAACTCCTATCTTCCCATTGTAACAAAGTAATCCAGTTGTGGGATCAATATAAATCACCTGGGTGTCACTCCTTGTGGACAAGCTGACAACTATATATACTTCACCAGTATCAAGTATAGCAACAACAACAGAGGTATCCCTCAAACTAACTGCAATAAACACCAAAAACATGCATGAACTGGACAAGCATTTAATATTGTAAAAGAACCAGCCATATTAATGCAACAAAGAAGAAAGAACAATAACAGAACAATAAAGGTCAAGTATCACTTGCATATATATGCAAACCATGGAGCATACACTTCAAGTTGGATTTTTTACCTAACAAAATGGAGAATTTTATTAAAGCAAACAATTACTAAAACAGATACACCCCCTTGTAGTTTAAATATAAAAGGAGATTATCCCATGCCACCAGGGTGTATTTTAAAGACACCCCCCCCAGGAGAAGGTGATTATCTGTCATGGAATTTCATAACTTGATACATCACAAGTTGTCTACTATATTTTTTTATCAGTACATAATTTGTCTACTATAGAATCTCACAATATACTATTTCAGTGCACCAACATATTTATCTCTGAAACAACAAGTCTTTTTCAATCTCAACAATCACCAAAAGGGAGTCCCCTTAAACCTAGATGGTTATATTTAAACTTCACATTGTGTCACATGTAAGTAACTGAAAATAAAAAATAAAAAATGAAGCAAAGGTACTACCATATCTAAAATATCTATGAGATCAAGATTCAAAGAATTGATATCATAAAGAGTATCAGGTAATGTAAAGAAACATATCAGGGTGTGCATTGTAAATGCATGAATAGTGGAAAAATTAAGATACTCATGGATACACTAGGGAAACTTGCATAAATCCCAAAAATACATTGATTATACTAAACCTAAGGCTCAAATGACTGCAAATAAGGTATGAAGACATAAGAAACACGTATTTTAATAGTTTGTGTGAAGTGCACTTCGGAAATGATGTAAAATGGTGGTAGAATTAAAAGATACATATCATCTAAGACTTGCTCCAACTAAATGGGATCAGTTACATGAATCCTTTGCCATTCTGTTCTGTTCAGTGCCATATCCATTGTATGTGTGTATCATGTATGCATGCTAATATCAATAATAACTAGTATTTAAAAAATACTAATTTTAAAGATCAATAAAGGTTGATTAAATGTTATAAAATTTAAAACCCATGTAACTTTGAGTTTTAGCAAGTTGTGATGATGTGGTGCACAATTGTAAGATACTTGCCTTTTGCACAATGCAAAGTTGGGTTAAAATCTTGGCAATATTATAACATTTAATTTTTAATGCTGGTTTAAATTTAATAATAGAAGGGAGTTAATTTGAATTTAAAATTTAAATAAGTAGTTGAAGGATTTGAGGAGTTAATGACTTAATATAGGATCAAGGATTTAAGGTATTATAAATCAAGAACTAAGAGCATTAATGTTAATAGCAGTATTAATGCAGGATTCAAGGGAGCATTAATGGGCAATATGTATTGGTTTTCATTCGTACAGACCAATACTCAATCTGTATTGGCCAATACAGACCAATACCAAACTGAAACTATGTCATACCTGTGGATATGGGTGATATGGCACCAAAACTGGGCCATTCCACCAGTGCAATGTGCAGATAACCCCAAAAAACACTATGTATAGGACCATATCGGCCTATATGTATCAATAACCTTGTATGAGATAATAAGATAGGTTAAGATATCTTATTGTCTAATATGTATTGATACTCTAAACCTTGTATGAGATACATATCGGCTGATACATATCGATACTCTAATCCTTGTATGAGATTTGTGTCAGCCAATACTTATCAATACTCTAAACTCATTACTTATGAGATTGCTTCATGCATGGGAGTGAGAGGAATGGAGAAGGTGGGACCCCATTTTTGGTCATCTTAAACTTTGTTCCTCAAGGGACTGAAGAGCCTTAAATTCTATTTTCTTTTACCCTATTTTACATTATTTTCCATGTAAGCTCCAAAACTAATTAGGTTCACGGCTTGGAAACCATAGTTGAAACTTTGGAAACATAAATTTGCAAGGTTAGTGCAACATCTTTGTTTTTTCCAACCCCAAAGTTCACATTTGCTTTTCACAGTTCTCACTCCTTATGATATGAACTTACAGATCTTTCGTATTTTATCCCTCCAAAATGTGGATTCATGGACTGGTATCAAGAGATTCACTCCACCCCCAACAGGTATCAAGTGCACTAAGGTCCTAATTCCCAATTAATCACATAATAAGCCTTCATTTGAATTTGATTATAAACTGAAACATCTGTGCAAAGCACTTACTATCAATAATGACAGCTCTTTGGTCAAAAAAAGGCCCCCAAATGATGTAATCTGGATTATAGGATGTGGTACTATCCAAAAATTGGCCACATTTCAGACCATTTTTTACTTGGCATATGTCCATAAGAGTTTGGGTTGCTAAATTAGTGACATTTGGAGCTATGGCCCATGCAGAGGGTGGTCCCTTTAGGGACCGTCTGAAATAATGAGCATGTGTGCTGCATTTATTGTATGAACAACCTTTTCAAATTCCCCCTATTAATATTTATAATTGTAGAGAACATTGATGTGGGCACCACAGCTGTGGTCCCACTCTGTCCGTAGGGTAGAATGTATCTAGTCACAGCTGTGGTTATTTTGCTATTCTGTTATTTCTAGTTTCAGTTCTATATTGTTTGTTATTTGTTAGCAGTTATGATGTAAACACCAAGGGCAGATATGTCCTTTCATGTAACCAGCATAACCTATATATATTAACT